CCATACAGAATCTATATTTATATTTATATATTAACAATTTATTTATAACTCTATTTTGTGTCACCTAAGGTGTATTCAAAATTAGCTAAAGGAGAGCACAATAGTTCAATAAAAAGTGTTTGTGACATTTCTGTACACGTAGGTATTGTTATATATTCCCTGATTCCATGCCGTATTTGTCCACACACTCTGGATCTGATCCCCTCGTCAAGGATTTTTTTCGAAAATCTAGAGGAGGACATTCATCCCATGCAAAGGAGCTGGTTATGATCAGCATGTTGAGCAATAATGCCTTAAAGTGCATCTATCATTCCATTCCCTATGTTACTGCTTTGTTTGACTACCTCACCGCCGTATATGACCTAGCGTATCGGCACGACTTAACTCTTTTGCTCCCTATGGTGTTCGGTCTCATATTGTGCTTCTTTGGCGGCCAGTACTTAATGTTAGTCACTATATCGGAGACGGTACGGTTGTTCTGCTGGAGGGAATTGGTTGCTTCTGCTAATGCTTTGTACCGTAACTACGAAATCGCTATGGAGAGTAGCCGTAGGGATGACTTAATCGACGCTGATGGAAATCGCATCCCAGATGTTAAGGAAATAAGTAGACAGGACCTGCTTGTGCAAAAGTTGAAGGTTTTCATGAAGACTGTGGATGTGATAGAGGTGCGCTCTGCTATTCGGACGCTTGCAACGGCATACTTTTCGATAATTGCTGCGCTGCGGCTAAAGGTGGCGCGGTATTTGGCACTTGCCTTATCTTCAGCGCGTGTGATAAGCAAAAGCATTCCATTAGAGCGCATTTTGGCGGAACACCTTCCTCCGGGATCGAAAAAATGGTCTGGAATCCTAGCGGACACTCAGCTCAATGTGCTCTGCATGATCTTAGCGCTATTTTTTGGTAGATGGGTATGCAGCTTAAACTGTGCAATTCAAGGCTCCTCCATGTTTGTTCAGAGCATGATTATGCTCGGTCAGAAAAAGGGCCTTTTAGAGGACGATTTGCACGTGAATGATCCGAGGTCGAAGGCTCTTGTTGTGGTTGTTGCAGCGACCGGCTTTCTATGGCAGGCATCTCATCGCAGTGGTTTACCGTTTCCCTTCAATGTGTTCTTGTTTCCACTAACATTGCTAGAGTGGTGCTTGCAGTTAGTGTTTAGTGGATTGCTGTTTCTCACCCCTTCGATGGATTTCCAGTAAAAGCAAACACGAAAAGGGAAATTGATGATTTGTAGCAATGAAATGAGGCAGCAAAAGCAGAAGAATGCACTAGTAGCCAGATTGCTACTACTGTTACATTTTAAAAATTGATTTTCGTTGATACACTTGATTAAGGGAAGCTGTTACATCGTCTCTGCACAATATTTATTACTTATTGCAAAGTTATGAAGCAGGATATTTTCCCGACATTAATAGTAATATAGTATCATATATCGATTCTTTGAACCCTCGAGCTGACGCGTCCGATCCAAAACGAGGAAATAAGCTGCATGCAATAACCAAAATTATTCTCTTATATTGCATTACGATATCGATTCTTTCTTTTTCGCCTTCAGCACATTGCCGGTTAGGGCCATCCTGCATGTGTGTGAAAGGGTCAGAGGGCATATGAAACGCATTTTTTTGTACATATTGCCAACCAAGTATTCCTTTTCTGCTGTTTAAGGAATTCGTTCCTCTAGCTTATTTCAAACAGAGGAAATCATTTTGAGGTACAAAATACTGCAGTGTCTTGACCAAATCAAATGAAATTTTGAACTTTTTAAAAAATAATTTTCAAAGTTTTCCTTTCCGATTTATTTTCGTTGTTGCTTCCTGATCGTCTGAGACACTACTCAATCTATTCCTCCATCAAACACATGGATTGATTCTTCACTCCTTCCTATTACTTTTTCTGATGCTTTCTACCCTCCTCTCCTTCCTGCGTTTTTGCATTGATTTGTGGTTAAGGACACCATGCTGCATCAAACTTTGCTGGGTCTCTTTGACGGGTACATGTCTCGCAGGGATGACCAGCTCACCTCGGAGACGAAGCTCGGCGGGTCCCCGACCTACCTTCCCCTGCTCTCCACCGAGCAGCAGGGGCTCATTGACCGTTGGACGAGCTGTGGGGTGTGTGGTCACCCCATGTTTCTCCTCCTCCAGGCCTACAGCCCTCTCCCAGGGGGAACCGGGGAGGTGGGATCTGCCGTAGCCTCCCCTGCCCCGCCAACCTCCTCCCCTCATCGCATGCTCTACGTCTTCTGCTGCAACTCCTCCGGCTGCGCGCGGCAGCCCTCCGCGAGCTGGGCCGCCTTCAGCCTGCAGGTCGACCACGACGACGACGAGGAATCGCCGAGGGCTGCCGAGGAAGAGGTCGTCGCCACCGGCCCTCTGCTGCCGAGCGAGCTCGCGCCGAACAGCCTCCCCCCTTGTTTTATCCGCGTCGTGGAGGAGCCCGCCGAGGCGGAAGGGGTCGTCCCTACCGACCTCGAGCTCGAGATGATTCGGATGGCGGAGGCGAACTCCCGCGCCGCGGAGGCCAACCACGGCGTCGAGTTCCCCGACGAGGACCTCAAGGAGCTCGCCAAGGTCGTCGACCTGAAGGATAAGCGGTCGGATTACTACTATGAAAAGTTCCGCACCCAAATTGCGCGGGCTCCCACGCAGGTGCTGCGCTATCACCAGCGCACGCCCCTGCCGCTACCGCCCTCCAATAAACCTAAGGAGGCCTCCGGGGGCATGCCCGCTCAACAGGCGAAACATGAACGACCCTTATTTATGAACCCACAAAAGTTGAAATTAAAACAGTCGACTATTCCGGCATGCTCGTTCTGTGGGGCGTCTCTCGCTTATGAGCTGCAGGTCATGCCAACTTCACTTTATTACCTGCGGGTTCACGAGTACGTGAATCATGCCAGCCACAAGAGTGGTGATGAAGGAGTTGACTTTGGGACCGCTACGGTATACACCTGCTCGAAAGATTGTTCTTTACTGCAGAAGGGCGTGCATCTACGACGGGAAGTGGTGGTCGTAGAGGAGGCTCCACAGTTAAATGATGATAATCTGTTCGACGAGGCCCCTGCGGGGGAAGGTGCCGCGGGCTCTCCTGGACCTTGGATTAACCTTAGAAATACGATGGTAGGTCAGTAGATCTGAGAGATTTAGTGGTTTGGAGAAATGTGGTGGGTAAGCCATCTCACATGCTATGAGTTGGTTTGAAGAGTGAGAAGCTGCGCGAAGATGCAAAAACATGAGGATATAAAACTAATAGGTAGGGGACGAAAAACAAACAAACTAACGGTGTGACATGCTTTCATTTTTTTGTGTAAAAGAACAAGTTTCCCTTCTTTTTTTGCAATCAAGTCCCTAGTTACATTGCAGAGGTCCTCATCGTGACTTCTTTTTCTTAAATATTGTAGGTTATACCTCAGCAGGAGTGAGCTCGATGCATGAGCTACCAAGAATCAACCAGCGCCTTTCTCTCATTTTTGCACTAGTGCAAATAACTAATACTCCAACAAGGTGTATGCTACATTTATAATTTTTCCCTCATACGAGAAATCAGTGATCATAATCTGACTGAGATATGTTTTGTTACACGTTCCAACTAAGTCTATGAATGTACCTTTTATTTTTCCTCTTATTCTGTGTTGGTGAATGGCTATAAAAGGTTGCTACGGGATATCTTCATTCTTTAGAAGATTAGTAAGATTTCTTACTAGAATTTTCCTTGATGCCTATTTATCAGGTGAGGAGAAGAGATATCAGAAGTTCTAAAAAAAAGGGAAAAGTCAAAACTGAATGAACGACTCAGCGGAAGCAACCAACACACAAGTGCCTTTAGATGAATGGTTAATTACGAACCCATGTCAATTCAGAGTCTCAACGCCATCCGCCGCACCACTATTACCGAAAGCGGAGCATTATAGACCAAAGACGAGTTCTAGTGGCACTGGTCGCACCCTTTCTTCCACTCAGCAGGAGTACCTCCTGGAGCTCTACCTAAAGCTAGGCGGCATCTACCGATCGGGTCTAAGAACCGTTCTCTCTCAATTTCTCAGCTTGACATTGCCCTCACATATTGCAGATGCTGTTGACACGGTGTTCGAGATGCAAGAGCAGGGTGAGCGAAGCAGCATAGGTAAGGCGTATGATGGAAACCAAGCGGCTGCGCAGCGGGATAGTTGCAAAGCGGTTGACGGGGCCCACACAGCGCCGGATCTTCTTCAGCCGCAAGAGTGGCTTGATCTAGTGCAGTATTACTGGCTAAAGGCGGGGTGCCCCCCTCTGCAGCCACCACCTCTTCTTAGTTTGGAGGACCTGTATCGAGAATCGGAGCACAACGTGTGCGACGAGGAGCTGTGCTCTCCTTCTCCCCTTTCCTCTGAGTCTAGGCATACCCCGCGAGTGGGTGGGAAGAGGTGCTTTTATGATGGCTTGGATTCTACCGCCAGGGTGGAGATCCCCAACGAGCACAAAGAGCATTCCCGGCGTGAGAGCTACTCGTCGCGGCGGCCGTCGTGTTCGGTGAACAACGGGCTCGCTGTGGAGCCAGCTGGATCTTGTGTTTCTTTTTCTGGAGTGCGTGATGTCGTTCTGACGCTCTTCCGGAGATGTGGCGGGACCACACCAGAAGAGACTAGAGACGATGGTATCCTCGATCCTGGCGCCGAAAGGAGTTCTTTCTTAACGTTAGAGGCCTGGAAGCGGGCGATACGGCGATACGCTGAGCGCAGCTCAAAGCCACCACCGGAGCCCATTATAATGGATGTGACCAAGGCCATGATGGCGCTCGCGGTGCTTCCGGAGAAGGGCGCCCCCCACCATCCGCACGAGCACCCAAACGCGAGGGAGGTGAGCCACGACGACGGCCCCCACCGCATCGTAACGCTGACGGATTTCACGGAACTGCTCAGAGGGCAGCTGTGTGTGATGCAGCGCGATGGCGTGGGCTGCTTCGCGGTTGCGTTGGCATCGCACCCGAGATCCCAGTCTTCCCCTGAAACACCTAAACTGCATGCGTCCTACTGCCCGTTGCATCTCACGCGACGTCCACCGACGTTCTGCATGCTTCTCGCGTGGATGGATCCGTCTAGTATGTCGAGCATTGCCCGCATGGAGGGGACGACCTACCTGCGATCTGTCGGCCTGATGGAGGCCGCACTGCGGTTTTTAATATCCGAGGCTCAAATGCAGCTGGCGGCTCTCCCCGATGCCGTTTCATCACCACCCACGGCAAAGAATCCCAATTCCTCGAACGCTATCTTAGAGCGTCCGACGACCTCCCCTTTTTCAGCTCCAGTCCGCCGAGGAGCAAACACCGAAGGCAGTGGTGTAAACCCTTCCGGATCCCCTTCGCAGCAGCGTGTGAGCGTGTCTAGAAAGCGGTCAGAGGCTCCCGTAAGTAAAGGTGAGTCGGCGCACTCTCATAAGCGTCGTGACCTCTCCCGGAAGCGGTATTTGAACCCACGCCCGCCCGACGAGATCACCGCCTCGATAGTCGCCCGCGCGCACGCCCGACGGTTGCTCGATACGCTTCGAAAGAACACCGTTCCGATCCTCCGCTACGAATGCTACGCCATGATTGGAAGCGGGGGCGAGGCGGAGACCCCTGAGGGGAAGCCCAACGAACCCCCCGCGGCGGGATCTTCGGGGAAAAGTTCGAAGCAGCGTCTTCAAAAGGAGCTTTTCAACCTCTCCGTGGATCTCTCCGACTCCGACGCGTTGCTCCTCGCGGCCTCTCACGGCGGGGCATCAAAGCGGGCGGCCTCCACGCCGTTGCGCGGGGCCGTCGGCAAATCCAAGACCCCCGCGATGTTTCACTTCAGCGGCTTTCTCGCCAGTAAAGTTCCGAAAAAGGCGCATCACGCGATATTCGAGCGTCTAAGCCGCCCGGTGTGTGATTTGCACGCGTACGACATCCAGCTCCCCCCACCTCCGTCGATAGGAGGGCAGAGGGAGAGGGAGAGGAAGGGGGAAGGGGGTGATGGGAAGAAGCCGCGGGAGGGAAAAAATGAGACGACGGCGGCGGCCTCCTCCATCATCCCAGGATTTCCACCGACGACTTCAGCCCTCAATCGGCGACGACGAGGGGGCTTGGGGAGCTCGGCCGTGTCGCCCTTTTCTCCTCCAGTACTGCAACGCGGCGGCAGGGGCGGCGTGCGCGCGAGCACGCCGAGGGCAACGGCGTTTTCTCGCACGGAAGGGGCGTCCGCGGCGTCGATTCGCGCAGCCTACGCGGGGGTGGCGGTACCCTCCGCGATGGATGCACGGGAGACACCACGGGCATGCGTCTCCTCGTTGCCTTCGCCGCCCACTGGGAAGGGCGCGCGAGGTACTTTAGCGCACACCTTCTTTGCGTATTCCTTGAACCCACAGCCGTGTTTTGGGCATCAGACAAGAGGGGCCGGAGGGCGTTGGGGTTACCCTGCGGCTACAATGCCTCCTTCAAGCGGTGGCACGCGCGGTCGACCTCCACCTGGTTACCCTCAACAGAAGCCCGTCCCCAAAAGTGGTGATTGGAGCGCGAAAGAGGGGGCCTGACGCCACACTTTTTCTTACGAAGATTGAAATTTAGCGGGAGGGGAGGTCGATTTTTTTGCGTGGGGGTGGAGAGGTTGAAATGAAGAAAAAACATTTAATCACGATCCGAAATCGCGACTCTCCTTTTTACCTTTCCCACAGCTTGACCTTTTCACTTCAAAATTCAGGCGAGGAGGGGGTGGAGGATTCCATCACATCGTATTTCGCTGTACTAGACAGAGTTGTTTCTTTTTTATTTTATCGGGAAAAACGTTTTTTCCTTGCATAAGTGCGCGTTGGCAGCATAACCACCGCAGCAAGAGGAGAAAAAGGCTTACCGCCTCGCAAAACAACAACCTAAACGGGTATCTTTCTCATCCTTTAATCACCACCAGCGCGGCATAGCGCGTGAGAAGCGGACTCCAGTGATCATGATCACAACAAATTTCATACAATAGGCAGAGGGAGGTATTTAGTGTAAAACAAGCGTCTGCTGATATTGGCCGTTGTGAGCGTGGTGTGGACTGAGGAAGGGAAAATGGTGTCTCGATGGGTAGGTATCCTATGTATATCTAACTTAGAAGAAACATTCCTTAATTTTGTTTGTATCCATTGATATGCCATCTGGTATAATAGATTTTTCTTCCGAACGGGAAACACTGTCATACCTTTCTAACCACCTTACCTTTCGCATCACACCCGTATCTACTTTTTTAACTTATCGGTTAAAATATTAGTTCATTTTTATTAGTCCTTTGGAATATAAAGCTAATATATATATATATGCACATACCAAGCATATATCCAACTGGAAAGAATAAAAGGAAAGCAGGTACAAAGATCTAACATTTCAGCTGCTAATACAGAATTTTGGCTTAGTAAGGATAACACATCGCATGGCACATATTTCTTTAGAAATCAGTTGAGACAAAAACAAAAGTAACCACAACAAGTGAATCTTAAAATCTAACACATGCGATGCGACATGTATAGTCATTTAGTTTAAGCGAAGATAAGCCGTTTTACATGTGTAGACGCAAAATGCGTTCAACTAAAGATTTATGTGAAGTGACAGGGATCCGTGTGATTACAGATGCGTCTTCCACCTAACGATTTTCCACCTGCTGTACCGCCTCTCTCAACGAGCACTCGTGCCCGTGGAGGGGGGAAAGGGCAGTAGGTGGGAAAGGTGATTATATTTGATGCTTACAAAATACTATACTACACCGATTATTCGAATGAGGATCCTTATGGTTTGTGTTTGTTTTGTGAGGGGTTTGTTTGCCGTCAGATCCGACCGGGCAGGATGGCACCTTCAAACATTGTGGTGTGTGTCCAATCGGTGGGTCGAGATGCCCTACGCCGTCTGCTTTTCCAGATAATGTTGTGTGTGCGTGTGGTGGCTACGGGGAGGGAACGAAAGATTTATGTGAAGTGACAGGGATCCGTGTGATTACAGATGCGTCTTCCACCTAACGATTTTCCACCTGCTGTACCGCCTCTCTCAACGAGCACTCGTGCCCGTGGAGGGGGAAAGGGCAGTAGGTGGGAAAGGTGATTATATTTGATGCTTACAAAATACTATACTACACCGATTATTCGAATGAGGATCCTTATGGTTTGTGTTTGTTTTGTGAGGGGTTGGTTGCCGTCAAATCCGGCCGTGTGAATACTACGCTCTGCCTTGTTCTTTGATGATGAGTTTCTTGTTTACAGTAAAATGCTAGTTGTGCTTCTTTACTTATTTTTTTGTTGTCATGGTTATTGTTGCTTATGGAAAAATGTATTTCATTTTAATAGGCTCAATTTCCCCCTCTTTTGAGTATGATTAAATAGGCATGGCTCCAATCCGTACAAAACTCAAAGTCTATGTGTTTTTACAAATCTCATTAGTAACTATTCGTTAAATCTAAATGGCATTTGCTGCCTTGAGAGTATGGCTTTCTTCGAGCCCATTTTCGCTTTCACCAAGGTGCCTAAGTAGCTTATCGAGCTCTCCTTCATTTGGTATTACTCGACTCGCGCCGAGCAAGCGCGTTCCGGGCTTGACCGGCGTGTTCTGCACGCGCACGGTTAAGAAGTTCGCGCCGCTGGAGATTCTTCCGGAGGCGTTGCAGGGGATGCCCGCCGAACGAATTGCTCAACTCGCCCCTTTTCTCAGCGAGGCCGCCGTGGGCAGCCTGGCGTCGTCGTCCCCCTCCTCCTCGCCTGAAGCTGGGCCGTATCTCGAGAATTTAGTCCGTTCCCCTCGCAAAACCGTATCGTTGCGACGTTTTCTCGCCTTACGCGCCGCGTTCAGCTCGGGGGATCATTTTTACATCGCGACCACCGGGGGGTGGTATCTGCTGCTGCCGAGCAATGCAGTCGGGCTTCGCGATCCGGAGGGGTTGGCGGCCTGGCTGCGGCGTCGCCACCCGCGCCATCTAGAGGAACTTCCGACGGCCGACAAGGGCGATCTTCGCCAGGCCGCGGCGCGCGTGAGGCGGGAAAAAGCCGCCGCCCTAGATCGTCTGGAGCGGGAAGAGGACGTGGCGGACGAGATGGATGCCAGGAAGGGGCTGGAAAGGCTCGCGGGTGCGTCTGAGGGTGGAAAAGACAACCCTCCCGCGTCGTCTAGTTTACTCGCGAATGGGAATGCCGAGGTGGCAGAATGGATGGAGGCGACGCGGGAACAGGGCGAGTGCGGTGGGAATGTCTCCACGACCGCCCGCGCGCGTTCTTCCAGACGTCGCCGGAAACCCCCTTTGTTTATCCCCGAGGCGCATCTTTTTCAAATCAATGATGGGGTTCCATGGCCGCTTCCGCCACGAGGGGATCTCGCGCAGTCGGCGTACTGGGCGCAGCACCGCGACCGCATGGCGGTTTACCGCGATAACGAACCACCCTCTCAGGGTTTCCCGCGGAAGGCAAATGTGATGCTCGACGTGGATGATGAGAGTGGGCTGGTTACCCTCATCCCGATCATCGATCTCCACCCCGGTGATGAGTTGCTCCTGCACTACAGCTGGGAGTGGTGGACGCAACGGCTGCTCTCCACGCTGCTCCTCGCCGTGGAGGACGCCGAGATGCGCGAGGTCCGCGAGATCGAGCGGCTATGCCGGAGTGAGGACGAAACAGACGTCTTTGAGCCTTTCCCGAGGCTCCTTCCCGCGCGTAGAGTGCGTAGGCGGGGTGCGAAACGGACCCCTCGCCCGCAACTTTCCCCAGATGCAGGTCAGGAGGCGGAGAAAGGGGGTTCGTCTTCCGCTTCCATGGAGGAAATTGGAGGAAAGAAAGCCGCGAATGGAGCAGCCATGCGGGGGAAATACGTGCTTTACAATGAAGGAACCAAGCGAGAGGCGACCGATGCCGCGGTGCTGATGTTTGCGGTTCGTCGAAGTTGCCTGGATCGTGATTTTTTTAAGCTGCTGATGCAGGGCGGCGGCGAGGATGGGGCCTTTCCCCCTGTGTTTCGTCAGGATAGCTGCGATGTTGAGGTGCCTATTGAGATGATACGGCGGGCGCTGCTGCACTTCTTTCGCGTGAGAACACCTCAAGATGCAACGCAGATGAAGTCAAGTTCGTCAGAGAGTGAGGTGGAGTGTGAAGATAATGAGAGGTTTCACGTGTAATGACGGTGGGAACCAAGAAGAGGGTTGGGGAATGAGGGTTTGCACGAGACGTTCAGGTGATGCTGAGTGTTATTATTGGTAGTATTATTGTTGTTGTCGTTGTCGACAATGCAGAAGCAAAGCATGCCGATGGCGATAAGGTGTAGGGTGTTTTGTCATTTTTATTACTAACTTTTTAAATTGTTCACTCAACCAGTTGTTCAGGTTTTCAGGGTTTCCTATAACTCATATTGCATAGTCTCAAATGAGATGGATGCGCCTCTTCTGCTTTCCCATTCTTCCATTTTTTCTTTTCTCAACTACCCTTTCTACTTTTCGCTCTCACTTTTTCATTGACCCTCTAAAAAAAAATGTAAATACCTGCATAGGATAAACAACAAGAGAAATAGTTGGTTTTATCTCGGTTGAATTGTGACTTTATTTTGATCCCAACCAAACGGAAGGTGATCTTATATTTTTCCCCAAGTATTTATACTTACGTAGTACTTAGACAATCTGTATCAAGAAGGTAGGGGCTCTTTTTTTTATTATTTCCCAACCCTTTTCGTTCTCTTGACACCGATCTTTCTAGAATCCTTTGCCGAACCATCAAAAAGTCCGGCCACTTACCTTAGCACATCGTATTTATTTCGGCCTCACGCATTCCGCGGTGTGATGCAGGTTCGCCATTACAAAACGCTCTCTCAGGGGCAGATGAGCATCGCGCGCACACAAGCAATCGCGTGGTCGCCAAACAACAAACGCCTCGCCGTCGCCGATGCCAGCGGCTTCGTTCAGCTCTACGACGAGCAGTGCGAGCGGCGGGATAAGTTCCCGACCAAATCCGCCGACGGAAAAGGCAGCAGGGCGTATCAAATCACTGGCATGGCTTTTTCCCCTGATAGCGCGAAGGTGGCCATTGCGCAGTCGGATCGCATCGTCTTCGTCTACCGAATCGGTCTTGAGTGGGGGGAGAAGAAGGCGATCACAAGCAAGTTTCCGCAGACGAGCACGGTAACCTGCGTGGCGTGGCCGAGCGTGAGCTCGCAAGGGGTGGAGCTGATCGCCTTCGGGACGCAGGAAGGGAAGGTGAAGGTGGGGATTCTCAAGTCGAACAAATCACAGAGCCTTTACGCGCACGACCACCCTGTCGTCTCCATCGTCACCAGCCAGGATGGTAGCAAGCTTATCGGTGGGCATTTGGACGGCGCCGTCTACGTTTATGTTTTTGAATCCGAGGACGGCGGCGAGATCGCGAAGCCGAAGAAGCTCTTCACGCACACCTGCGCGCCCTACGTGTTGTCGTGGGGGGAGCAGCTCTGCGTGGCCGGGCAGGACGGCGTGCTCGTCTTCCACCACCCCCGCACCGGGCAAAAAACGCAATCCTTCGACTACCCCGTCAAGACAGAGGGCGGCTTCACCGCAGGGGGCTTCAGCCCGAGCGGGCAGACGATGGTGGCTGCCTCGCGGAACCGGCTTCGCGTTTTCGACTACAACCTGCGCTCCGGGAAGTGGGAGGAGGGCGGCGTCGTCGACTACGTAAACAGCTACGCCGTGCACTCGATGAGCTGGAAGAGCGATGGGAGCCGGCTCGTCACGGGCACCCTCACCGGCGCCGTCGACGTGTTCGATGCGTGCCTGAAGCGCTACTGCCTGCGCGGCTCCTTCGAGTTCACCTACGTCAGCCACAACCAGGTGATTGTGAAGCGGCTGGCGACGGGCGCTCGGATCGTCTTCCGGTCGAATATGGATAACGAGATCCAGCGGGTGAACGTGCATCGGGATCGCTACCTCGTCGCGCACACCTCCTCGACCTTGCTGGTGGGCGACCTCGTCTCGTGCGCGCTGTCGGAGGTGCCGTGGCAGCTCACCGGGCGGGAGAAGTACTCCTTCGACAACCCTAAGGTCTGTATGGTCTTCACGATGGGCGAGCTTTGCTTGATCGAGTACGGCAACAACACGGTGCTGGGGACCTACCGCACGGAGGAGCGCAACGCGCATCGCATCTCCATTCGCATCCACGACGCCGTCCCTGGGGGAGGCGGCAGCGGCGGCGGCGGCGGGCGGGGGGGGAAAACCGCGACCTCGCGGATGGATTCGATCAGCGGGGCCGCCGCGGAGGCTGCCACGGAGACGGGCCCGCCAACCCGCTCCATCGCCTACCTCCTCGACCGCCAGACGATCCAGGTGAACGATCTCGTGAGCGGGGTCGTGATGGCGCGGATCCCGCACACAGGGCGGATCGACTGGCTCGAGCTCGACTACCGCGCGACGAAGCTGCTCTTTCGGGATAAGCAGCACCAGCTTTTCCTCTTCGACATCCCTTCCCAGCAGCGCACGACGTTGTTGCCGTACTGCACCTACGTGCAATGGGTCCCCGGGAGCGACGTGGTGGTCGCGCAGAACCGCACGGAGCTGTGCGTGTGGTACGCGATTGAGAGCCCCGACCGGGTCGTGACGATTCCCATCCGCGGCGAGGTCGAGGGCATCGAGCGTGGCAACGGCAAGACCGAGGTCATCGTCGACGAGGGCGTGAACACCGTCGCGTACGCGCTCGACGAGGCCCTCATCGAGTTTGGCACCGCGATGGAGGAGCGCGCATTCGACCGCGCCTGCGACCTCCTCGACCGCATCCCGCTCTCGTCGGAGACGGAGGCGATGTGGGCGACCCTCGCGAACGTCACGCTGCAGGAGATGAAACTCCGCGTGGCGGAGCGGTGCTTCGCCGCGCTCGGGGACGTCGCGATGGTGCAGGCCCTCGCCCGCATCCACGAGCTCGCCGCGAAGGCCCGCGCGGAGAGCGACGGGGCGACGGATGGCTACGACCACTACACTGTCCGCGCGGAGTTGCTTCTCCTCGCGAAGGAGTTCACCGCGGCGGAGCAGCTCTACCTCGCGAATGGCAAGGTCGAGCAGGCGATGATGATGTGGGAGGAGATGGGTCGCTTCGATGCGAGCATCGCCATCGCGGAGTCGCGCTCGCTGCCCGACCTGGCGAACCGCCGCGCGCGCTACTTCAGCTGGCTGATGGAAACCCGTCAGTTCGAGAAGGCCGGCGCGATCAAGGAGAAGGAAGGGAAATACCTCGACGCGATCGATCTCTACCTCCGCGGCGGCACCCCCGCGCGCGCGGCGAGCGTCGTCAGCAGCTACGACCTCAAACCCGAGCAGCAGCTCCTCGAGGCGATCGCCGCGGCGCTCTTCAAGGCGCAGATCTTCGAGAAGGCCGGGGACTTCTTCGAGAAGCTCCACATGGACGACCGCGCGATTGAGGCCTACACGCGCGGGCACGTCTTCGGCCACGCGGTGGAATTCGCCCGGCAACGGCATCCCGACCAGGTCGTCGCGCTGGAGGAGCGCTGGGGCGACTACCTCGTCTCCCAGCAGCACATCGACCAGGCGATCAACCACTACCTGGAGGCGGGGAGCTACGCCAAGGCCGTGCGCGCCGCGATCAACTCCCGGCAGTGGGGGAAGGCCGTGAGCATCCTCGAGGCCCAGCACGGCGAGGGCGATGGCGAGGCCGAGGGCGAGCGCGAGGAGGGCGCGGGTGGGTCCTCCGGCGTGGATGCGACCGCGCGGGGCTTCTACCGCACCATCGCGCGGCATTACGAGGAGGAGCATCGCTACGCCGAGGCGGAGCGGCTGTACCTCCGCACCGGGGCGGTCGCCGAGGCGGTGGAGATGTACAGCCGGGCGGGGCTCTCCGATCCGATGTACCGCGTCGCCCAGCGCCACCTCGGGCCGCAGCAGCTCGTCGACCTCTTCCTCGGCCAGGCGAAGCAGCTGGAGGCGAAGGGCGACTACACCGGCGCCGAGCGGGTCTACCTCAAGGTGAACGACCCCGACCAGGCGATCGTGATGTACAAGAAGCTGCGGGATACGACCAATATGATCCGCCTCGTCCAGGCCTACCGGCCGGACTTTCTCCTCAAAACCCACCTCTCCCTCGCCGCGCAGTTCGAGAAGGAGAGCAACCTCAAGATGGCGGAGACCCACTACGTCGCGGGGAAGGACTGGGGACGGGCGGTGAACATGTACCGCGATCGTGATATGTGGGAGGATGCGGTGCGGGTGGCCAAAATCCACGGCGGCGCGAACGCCGCGCGGCAGGTGGTGATCCTCCGCGCCCTCGTCATGGACGTCGACGAGGGGCTGAAGTTGCTCGCGAAGTTCAACCTCACCGAGGCCGGCATCGACGCCGCGTTGGAGACGCAGAAGTTCGACCTCGCGCTCCAGTGGGCGCAGGCGGTGCAGCCGAGCAAGCTGCCTTTTGTCTACTTTAAGTACGCGATGCACTACGAGGACCAGGGTGACTTCCGGATGGCGGAGGAGACCTTTATTAAGTCCGGCAAACCGCGCGAGGCGATCGAGATGTACGTGCACCAGCACGAGTTCAGCAACGCAATGCGGGTGGCGGAGCAGTATGACCAATCCTCCATCCCGAGTATCTGCGCGACGAGCGCCCGCGTCTGCTTCCAGCAGGGGAACTACAAAGAGGCCGAGCAGCTCTTCCTGCGCGCGAAGACGCCGGAGACGCTGTTGAAGATGTATATGGATCACCGCATGTACCCCGACGCGCAGCGCATCGCGAAGGAGCACTGCCCAGAAGCGCTGCCGGAGGTCGCGAAGCGCATCGCGCTGCAGTCGAACGACCCCCAAAAGGCCGGCGCCGTGCTCGAGGAGAATCGCGAGTATCAGCTCGCCATCGACACCTACCTCAGTGCGAGCGCCGAGACGGTGGAGGACCCCGTTGCGCTCGCGAATCTCTGGGTGCGAGCGGTGAAGGTGGCGCAGCGGCACGCGCGCAACGCACTCCGCGAGACCCTCCGCACCGCCACGGAGAAGCTCAAAGAGGCCAAACACTTCGTCGAGGCGGGCAAATGCCTAGAGGACTGCGAGGACTACAAGGGCGCGATTAACATGTACGTCCAGGGGCAAAAATTCGAGATGGCGGAGGCCCTCGCAAAACGCATCAGCCCCGAGATGGTCGATTACGTCAAGCGCGCGATTGTGCAGGATAGCATCGACGTCGGCGGCGGCATGCGGGATATGCACCTCGTCGAGGATATCCACCCCGAGGCCGCCCTCAAGGCGTATCTCGCGAAGAGCGACTTCGTGAACGCGCTACGCGTGGTGAAGCAGCGGCTGCCCGAGCAGCTCCAGTACGTCGCCGCGCTGCAGATGCAGCATTACGTGAAGCAAGGCGACGCCATCTCCGCGCTGCGGACAGTGAACAGCTACCCACTCGACACCGAGGACTTTCGCTTTCACGATTCTTGGCTGAGGTTGGCGCAGATGATCATCCCAATGCTGAACCACCGCGGTGAGATGGTGCAAACAACCCTAACCTCCAACGGGAATCCAAGTGGAAAGGGTGGGGAGGAAGGGGTGGATGAAACGGATCTCGGTCTCGCGACGCTGCATGAGCGGCTCGTGAAGGTACACGCGAGCATCACGGCGTCTGGGCAGGAGGAACAGGAGGTCGCGCGGGTGAATGCACTTGTGCATCTCATCCATATCTACCACGTTGCCAGACAATTGCGCGAGGAAGGCCAGCTACAGGAGTTTGCCGTCAAGCTCATGCATGGACTCCCCCGTTGGATTCCTTTTATCTCGCCCGAGAAGGCCTTTTACGACGCCGGGATGGCGTGCAAGGAGAGCGGCGACGAAGGGTTGGCCTTCCTCTACCTGAACTACACCCTCGACCTTGTCGAGGCGGTGGAGGACCACCTCCCCGATAGCAGCGCGATCGCCAACACCGACTTCGACCTCGCCATCGACTTCCCGAAGAGCTTCGCGCTACCGTCAAGCCCGGTCGTCCCGAGCGCGGCGATCGAGGAGGCGAAGAACTGGGTCCTCCTCGTCTCCATCGAGGTCGACGACGAGCAGCGGCGGCAGCAGCGCACGCTGCCGACCGTCGCGGACCCGCAGTCGGGC